TCCACCCCCATGGGCCCTGTGGGGTAGAGCATAGACACAGCCCCAATCCACCCCCTATGGGCCCTGTGGGGCAGAGCATAGACACAGCACAGTGCACCCGGCCACGGCCCCAGTCCACCCCCATGGGCCCTGTGGGGTAGAGCATAGACACAGCCCCAATCCACCCCCTATGGGCCCTGTGGGGCAGAGCATAGACACAGCACAGTGCACCCGGCCACGGCCCCAGTCCACCCCCATGGGCCCTGTGGGGTAGAGCATAGACACAGCCCCAATCCACCCCCTATGGGCCCTGTGGGGCAGAGCATAGACACAGCCCCAATCCACCCCCTATGGGCCCTGTGGGGCAGAGCATAGCCACAGCTCAGTGCACCCGGCCACGGCCCCAATCCACCCCCTATGGGCCCTGTGGGGCAGAGCATAGACACAGCCCCGATCTGTCCCCTATGGACCCTGGACAGCAGAGAATAACCACAGTGCAGTGCCACCTGATATACCACATCCCTTATGGGCCCTATGGGGCAGAGAATAGCCACAGCCCAGTGCGCAGTGGGGTCCCCCCTCCATGTCGAGAGCTGGCCATGCAGAACAGGTGACACAGCCAAGCACAACTGCCACCAGGAGGTGGCCCTGGTGCGGCGCCCCAGACTCCTCTAGGTGCCAGTGACTTCCAGGAGGGCTCTCAGAATGGGGACAGAACTGGGTGCTGAAGCAGGGGAAAGGGGGTCTGCCCTGAAGGGCCCAGCTTACGCCTGGACGGTGTCCACCTCAGCCGGGCACCAGCCCTGGATCTCACAGGTCCGCAGGCTCCTGTTGTAGTTCACACACCGGCCAGTCAGGATTCCTGCGAAACCGCCCCCTATTTATTAGCACCACAAGCCCCACTCCCAGCCCCTCCACCCTGCCTCCTGTGCCCACATGGCTCCCTGCTGCCACCCCCACAGAGCCCAGATCCAGCAGAGAGGTTTGAGTCGGCTACCACCTCCCAGCTGGCCAGCATGGCCTTTCGATCACGCCAAGGCAGCTCCTGATTTTATATCCGGAAGCGGCAGGTTCAGACACTGCCCCGCATCAATCCATCCATCCACCCCTGCTTCTGCCACTCATCTATTCTTCACTCTCTCCTCCCTCATCCCCACCACGCAGACTGATGCTGCTCCCTCCTGGCCACCGCACCATGCTAGGGCCTCCGTCCACCATTCTCACATGCTAGGCCCCAGCCTCCTGTTGGAGCTGCTGTGTGGTTCTGGGGTCTTACCGCCTCCTGTGGTAGGGACGGGCCTCTGGCAGTCGCTGTCAGACACACAGCTGTACTTCACTTCGCTCTGGAAAAGGAGAGCAAGGGGGAGGCAGGCAGAGGGAATGAGCCCCAGGGACAGACACGCAGGCACATAGATAGCTCCCCCTCTCCTGCCTCCGCTCTGATGGTGGTGACTGTGACATTGCAGTCTATATGGTTTTATAAAAATAAGCTAATGAGTGAATATAATGTAACTGGAATATGCTTCATGCAAAAGGTCTCTTGTAAGGTATCATTACAAAGCTTATTGTCTACTGAGTGTGGTCATCCTATTTGTATAAATGTACCACTCTTGTATCTGAAACTAGAAATATGAAATATAACTCTGAGGGCCTATTGTAATTATGCAAAGTGTGGGCCATTAATGGTGGTTTGGAATCTTAATGGCTCCCATCAACCAGGACAATTGACTGGGGCTCTGTTTGCAGGCAGCCTTCCTGTGAGTCAGGCTGGGGGGAATGAAGGCTTGGGGGGGG